CACGCTGGGTCTTTCCCAGAAGCATCAATCAGACACGTTAACCAAAATTAAGCCTTTAAAGCCGCCGCCAAGCTGAAAGTCCCTGAGCCCTCGGTGCCACTGTTACCTACGCATGTGCACTCGGTACTCACTCAGAGGGTTTGCTTACACTTATTTACTTTTCCTCAAAACTGCTTTTGAATGTGCTCTAAATCTTCCCGGCTTTAAGCTTCTTTCTTTAACTCAAGTCGTCCAAAGTTAATCATGAACAAGACGGAGGCAGGTGAAGGAGGAACTGGGTGACCTCCATCTAAAGAAGAAAGAGTGGGAAGAACGGGTTTCTATTTCATAACTGCTGTAATTTTACAACATGAATAAAACCAACTCTTTAGATGAAGGAGGAGGAGGAGGAGGAGGAGAAATGTCTCTGTGAAAGCTTTTCTTTCTGCACCAGTCCGACCAAACTAAAACCTTCTCATGCTTTGCTGAATAATAAGTCATGAGAGTCGCTGGTTACGCATTAAAACCAGCACGGAGCGGCGGTTAGATCCCGGTTTACAGTTTGCAGGGCCTCACGCTGCACTTTGACCCCGTGCACCTTGGCAGGCAGTGAAAGGGATTTCAGATGAATCGGGCCTTTTGGTTGGCGGCTCTGCGAGCGCTCGGCCCCTCACGTTGTGTGTTTCAGGAATGCGCCTGTGTTGTTTTTTGTGGGTTTTTTTAAATTCGGGACTTTTGTTTTCTTCTTTCTGCACTTTTAAGACTGTCGAGTGTAAAACAAGCAGAGGAGAAATTCTCCACCTTAAAACAGCGACTGTGTGTTTGTTATCTCACCAGCAGCCCAAATAAGTGGAGGCCAACAACCGACGGTACGCTGACACCTGCAACAAATTCTCACTTCCTCTGCTGATTGCAGCTCATCTTGTTTTAATAAAAAACAGAAAAACCTGAAGATTTAAAAAAAAATTTAAAAATTCCCAGCTAGTAACTTCGATCGCCTCCCGGCAGTTATTTTATAGACTGATCAGTCTGGTTTTGTTCAGATTGTTGTTGGGGGATTTTCGCATAACTGCTCAAAAAGACATGAAAGTGTCACCAGATCAATGTTTCTCACACTCGGATCTCTCTGGGAATCTACCAGAAGCCGTCGGGCAGCTACACCGCCCGTGAATAAAGACCTGGATGGGAAGCTTGACATCTGCAGAGATCCAGCTACAGGACAGGCAGCTAACTGTGGTTGCCTCCACCAAGGAAAAGCTTTGAATGAACTCTGATGAGACTCTGTAGAGGTGTCGACTGTTAACAGCCCATTAACACCAATACAGGCACGAGATCTTCATGGTCAACTTCAGGATTTGTTGGTGGAAAAATGGACAAAAAGCCTGATAACATAGAAACTATGATTCTTCCAGGTGTTCTGTGTCATGTCACATTTGACCTCCGACCTCCCCTACAAGGTCACTATATTGATCTGCAAGTCAAAGTGATAACAATGCTACATAGAGCATTAAAGTTAAAGTTAAGTTTTTTTACTGACATTTCTTGTTCTGCTAACATGAAGGCATGAAGTGATTCATGGGAAGTCTAAATTATCACCTAATGTTGGATCTCTGACCTCTTCTTCAAGCTCAAATAAGGTCAAAC